TTATAACGCGATAGGTCGGTCTGTGGTCAACTATGCGGCTCCAGTGTGGTCTGCGAATACTAGTGCTACGCAGTGGAAGAATATCCAGACCTGCCAGAACGCTGCCCTGAGAACTGCGACAGGGTGCCTCCTCATGACACCAGTGGACCATCTACATGAGGAGGCGAAAGTCCTTCCCTTACGTCAGCATAATCATATGCTTTCGTTGCAGTACCTGCTTGGGTGTTACCGTGAGAGTCATCCCAACCATCATATGGTGGATAACTCTCCCCCACCCAGGCGTGTCAGGAAGGACATACATGATCTAGAGAGGGAGGTCCAGCGCTACAAGAGAGAGCATCTAGATCAAGAAGCCTATCAGGCAGGTCTGAGTGGCATTCACACCGATGCAGTCGCGGATGCTATGAGCAGTTATAAAGTGAATGCCGTCCTCGGAGTCCACCCCCCATCCATTGCAGCCGAAGAACGTCAGCTGCCTAGACAAACCAGGGTAGTTTTGGCGCAATTACGTTCAGGATGGTGTAGTCGCCTCAATTCGTATTGGGCACGAATTGATGAAGATGTGCGTGACGCCTGCCCGGCGTGCGATACAGGCCCGCACAATACGCTACACCTTTTTAATTGCTCAGCCAAACCTACCCAACTCACTCCAGAGGATCTCTGGCTACAGCCCGTTAAAGTAGCCGAATTTCTAAACCTGGAGCTGGAACCAGATTAGCAGAACACAAACACACACATGCACTACTGCTACAACAACAACAACAACATGGGTCTACCTCGTTTCCTTTTGCCTGTTACAAACATATGCACAAAGACATAATACCCTGACCACCTTGTGGTGTAGGGTATAAAAATCAAAAGACTATATGATACCCTACACCACTATGCATATTTAGTAGAACTCCCGTAACAAAAGAATTTATTGAAAGTAGATTATAACACATATCAACAGTTGGCTTTAGAGCAGTTATAGTTTAGTTTCAGAGGGAAATAATATGTGGGAAGCATATCCAATTCTACAGGGTGAGATGAAAAAACTGCAACCAAATTCAGACTGCTGTCATTTCCAGGCCACTCGTCCGACAACTGTTAAAATTGTTCCAGTGAAAGCTCATTATATTGTTTACAAGCGTACAAAAGCATTTTGGGGAGAATTTCCAGAAAAAAAGGTATTCGTGATGGAATTCAAGCGCGATAGTGTGATTTCTTTATATGTACTCCAGCATTTAAATGTGAATAAATCTTTTGTTCCTCGTACCATCGCTCGTTACCGTGATACTGGTAGCGTAGGTCGAAATGGTTCGAAAGTTAAAGAAGCGACTTGATCGAAACCCGTGTCGCACTGGCCGAAAAATGGCTCATGAGCTGAACGTATCGCAATATTCCATTCGGCAAATATTGAGAATTGGGCTCGGGGTAAAGCCATTGAAATTCCAAAAAGTGCATGAACTTATACCGCAACAGGAAGAAAATAGACTCAAAAGAGCTAAAGAGTTTTCCCCGATGAGAAATATTTGTTGTCCAGCAGTTTGTGACCAAAGAGATCAGCTGAAAATGTGCACCTTCGGTTGGCCACCTGAAACTCAAGCGCCGGCCATGGTGATGGTGTGGGCCACCATAACAGCCGATGATCGCTCTCCGCTTGTATTAATCGACTGTGGCATCAGAATAAGTGCCGAATATTATCGCGAACATATTCTGGAGGGTGTATTAAAGCCTTGGGTACGCAAACATTTTGGCCGCAGATCTTGGACATTCCAAGAGTACTCAGCACCATCGCACTCAGCACGCACCAAGAATGGTCACAAAATGAGGTTTCTCGCTACATTTCCAGCGCACAATGACCACCAAAATCTCCGGATATCAATGCGTTGGAATATTGTGTCTGGAGTATATTGGAAAGCAAGGGTGGCACTAAAAAATACCAAAGTGTCGATCGCCTCAATCAAGCGCTTCGCCGGGAATGGGCCAAAATACCACAGAGCAACATTCGGGCAGAGTGTGACGGTTTCATTGACCGTTTGAAGGCCATAATTCGTGCCAAAGGTGCCCAGTTCGAACAAATCTAAACTTATTCTAAAATTTGATGCTATTTCTGACATTTTTTGCTTTCATTGAATAAAATTTAAAAAAAAATGTAAAAATTATGGCGCTTGATTTTGTTGCAGTTTTTTTATCTTACCCTGTGTATGAGTACTATATCTTAATCTAAGTCGATTTTCTCGAAATTTGACAGAGGTGTATCTAGACTGAATGGAATCTTTCGTACATTGTCGTACATCATTGTTCTAGACCACATAGGGTGAGTGTGCCTAAGTTCGGCATGTCCCAGTAGTCGGCACTTTTTATTTTTAAGCCCAAATAAATTAAACTATTATAACTAAATGAATTTTGTGTACTTCAAATATATTGTCAGGTATCTTTGTGTATAATTTCGCTAGGAAAAGATGATTTATTCTAATAAAAATTAAATTTTTGTCTGTTAAGGTCCTCAACAATCCATATTCTTAAGAAAAGTACAATAAAGACGTCGAATCAATTTAACTAAACAAAAATATTATATTTTAATGAATTAATTTATTATTATTATTATTAATTATTCTTACAAAAAAAATTGGTACGCCGACTGTTGGAACATGCCATACCGTCAATTAGCAAGAGGTGCCGACTACTGGCAAAAAAGCATTGGTTTAATAAAACTACAAATTTATGAAATTTAATAAAAAGTTATTAAAACTTTTACAAAAACTATACAAAATTTCGAATCTGAATAAATTAAATATGTAATAATTGAAAAGTTTCACTCAGAATGTTGAGCGATTCAAAACGCGAAAATCCTCAAAGTGCCGACTACTGGTACACTTACCCTATTATAGCTTTAGAGTGACATTAATATTAAGTTCGATGAAACATTAACATTGAATGAACGTATCATCATTTACATCAAGTCGAAGCGAATTTCATATGATAGGGAATTGGAGAAAATAATATATAAAGATTTCGGTAAAATTTGGTCGTGGTATCATTTGCTTGAATGTGATGAGTTGCGCGAATTATTATTGTTGCAGGGTGAATATTACGGTTTATGGGTTAAATTTTAAGATAAATGAAACATATGAAAGATCGGTTTAGGTTTAGAAAATCGTTGAAATTGTATATTGGAAACAGTGGTTCGATCTGTATCTTTCTTTCCAATCCTTTCGGTACTTCTCACAAAAATTACCATTGGCTGTGCTCTTTAATTACCAAATTTAAATTAAGTCACTATTGATGAATCAGGCAATTCAATAACCATTTTAACTTTGTCAAATATTTATACCCTACAACACTATGTGTTGGGGGTATTATAAGTTTGATTGGGCCAGAATTTATGTAACACCTCGAAATATTGGTTTCCCATATAGGAAAGTATATATGGATCTTCCTAGCTCGCCGAGCTGAGTCGATCTAGCTATGTATGTCCGTCCGTCCGTCTGTCCGTCTGTCCATTTAATTTGTAATCACTCTACAGGTCGCAATTATGGTCCGATCTTCACGAAATTTAGAATGAAGGTGGGGATAGGGTCAGAATAGAACCCTATTTCTTTTGGAGATGATCGCATAATATCTAGGGGTTGAAATGGACCAAATACTGAAAAAATGTCGGATTTTGCAGTAGCTATACAGGTCGCAATTATTTAGTTTAGAGTTTAGGGCGGGGAAGAAGCCTACAAATTTGGGTGGTCATCGGATAATATTTAGCGGGTAAAATAGACCATATCTTTTTTGTTGAAAAAATTCAAAATTTTTCATTAAACCGCGAATATTTTAAATCCCGGCGTTATCACAAAGCCATGACAAGGTTTCTTCTGATCTTTACATTGATGTTAAGATCCAACAAATCGGATATATAGCAAAATATGTGCGATATATATGTCTATCAAAGAAGCTATGCTTGGAAGATCTCATATATGTCGAGAACGGCTGAACTGATTTCGACAGTTCTCATTAATTCAGAATGGCCTCTTGACAGGAAAGAAAAAACGTCTAAAAAATCGCATAAAAATATCTCTCTAAAGATGAAAATATTTATTTTGTAACTTTTTCTCATATTTTTTCAATTTTGTCATATTTTTGGCATATTTTCATTTTGAATTAAACATTTGGTAATATTTCTACAGCTAACACAACGAAATTTTGCATGGAGATAAGATGAGGGTCAGAATAGAAGCCTACTCTTTTTGGAGATGATCGCCATATATTTAGCGGTTGAAATGGACCAACAAATGCAAAATTGTCAGCAGGCCGTAATTATCGCCCGGTCCTCACGCACATTTGAATGGGGGTTACCGGACATTGCAAAAGCCAAGCAGTTTTGGATGGCCATCAAAAAATATTCATATTCATATGTGTGAAATAGTTTGCCAACTTTTGTAGACAATATACTAAAATGTCCATCTTGTTAATGTTAATCTTTTGCCACTTCTGAGAGATTATAGGTCTTTGGGAAATATTGGTTCCAGATCTAGGAAGACCATTTACGTGCAACATCTACCAATAAATTGGAAATAAGCAAATTAGTTTAAGTTGCTATTATTCGAAAATTAGAGAACGAAACCTGATGGTTTTCTTTTATTATTTGTCACAATATCTTGTGGAATTCTGTCGAGTATTTCGCCTAACAAACTGTATGGTTTATTATAGTGTTGTAGGGTATTCAACGGTCGGCCCCGCTCGACTGTAGCCTTTGCTTACTTGTTTTTATTTATATTTGGTTTTTATTTCGTAATTGTATTTGCTATTATCACTTCAAAGTTATTTGCAAAATGCTCGTTCATGTATATTACAATCCATAACTCCTTTGACAAACTGAAAACGTTTGTCATAAAGTTTTGAGAGTGAAAGGATTAAGTTTTCTTGGTTTTATGGTTGCTAAGTGATAAATTAAACTGAGAAATATTCTTAAGGACTCTCGTAATAATCTACCAGCAGATATTGTAATAAAAACAAACTCAATAGTATTTTTGTGTTTGTTAAGTAAATGTCTTTTATTTGAATTGTTTTTGATATATATTTTTTCCATTAAAATACCTAATAAACTTAAAAAAATGTATGTTTGTATGTTATTCTATAGCCAAGTGCTGTGTTAGATAAATGCGTCTAAATGATGTTTTGATGAAAGTACGTTTGACTGCAACGACTTGGGTTAGGTTTTCTGTTTGTGGTTTTCACCCTTTCCCAATTAAAAATTTCATTTATATTTCCCTTCACCCAAAACCAATGTGGTGGACCCATTGTAACAATAAGCGGTAAGTAATAAAAAAAATTATTAAACTAAACTAAAGGAGATATGTAGTTAACTACAGTTTAAAAAAATTAGGGGTAGAGATAGAGGGCAAGCTTTGTCTTTGCATAAGGCATAGATAGCACTGCTATGTGGAGATCTACTCCACGGAGCGATAGCCATTGCGCTGAGAGAGTACCGAGTCGGGATTTTTCAATTCCATTGCTAGCTTGTAGCCCAATTCGGGGCGGCGATCGCGTCCTTCGGCCATGGCCTTGACCTGTAATTGGGAGTACATTAGTATATGAACAATTAAAAAATCCCACATTTCCTCTTTCTCACCTCAGTTGAGTGGACAATGACACCATGATTGCTTATCACCTTCTCCTTGGTATGTTCAATGTCATGGAAATCTGTACCCCGGCAACAGTCATCAATTAAAATGGTTCTGTAGCCAACGGAAAGGGCGTCAACAGCAGTGGCACCTAGAAGCAATAACAAAATACATATATTTTCAGTTTTCCATTTATATCTCTCTTTTCGTTTTTTTAAGCTCACCCACACAAACATCATAGGCCAAACCACACACATAAATATCTGTGGCTCCCTTCATCTTCAACTGGGCATTCAGAGTGGTATCGGATAGCTTCTTATTGTCCCAGAATACCGAATATGAATCCACCTCCGGATTTGTACCCTTATACACCTTGATGCCATGTTCTACTACCTTCAGGTCCTTGTGCAACTCTGCACCCCAAGAGTCCTGGACACAGTGACGTGGCCACAAACGCTGTTTCATCGCTGGTGGACCAGCAAAGATTACCGTATCAAAGACCTGTGCCGAATCAGCATCTATCTGTATAGGGGAGAGAGAGAGAAGTTTAGAGATATTCCATAATCGGGTTCATAGTTCATACTTACCGGAGAACTTTCATCCAGCGGCCTCATTTTGACATTATCTACAAAGGAAACGTGATCACTGGGATGCCAATCCAATGAATAGAACACTGCATCAAAGTCAACGGTATCCAACAGATTGTTTGTGGGTTCAAGGATCTGAAAGATGGAGAATATGTGAAATGTGGTTAATTTTGAAAATGTAAATATTTAATCTCGATTCACCATGAGGTGTCAAATGGCCCTGGTGGAAAAAAACTTATGTTCGTTAAAATAGTCTAACGGTTTACGAGATTTTGAAACCCAGGGGATTAATACATTAATTAAATCCTCATTAAGGTGGCTTGGCATAAAGGATAAGCCCAGATTTACACTAGGTTATTAAGGCTAGGGCTAGAATCTTGGTGAGGAGTACTCCTTGTCCGATGGTGTCAGAAAAGGTCGAGGTTTTGGGAATTCCCACTAGAAGAAAAGTACTAAAAGCTACTAAATATTTGACGAACCAGTAGAGCTAGAAATTTGGAATGAGGCTCACTGATGGAGTGTATTACGGATGTACCAAAGGATTTTTGGAAATTCGCGGAAGTGAGTACTCAACGGTACTAAATTTGGTACAATTCGACTCCTGAAATTAGAAATTAATATTACGACGGAGAGTAGAATTGGGATATGGAAGCAGTTCACGAACTTGTACTTATGTGCATAAAAATTACTAAATGGTACTAAATTTGGTACAATTTCGATTTAGTTAGAACCGAAAGATATGGAATGCTGAAATTTGAAAAAAAAAAATACTATTGCATTGTAGGACTGAGTTATGTATTTGGAGTTTTGGAAATTCGTACTTATGTGTACTTAATGGTACTAAAGTTGCTACAATTTCGATTAGGGTGAACCAATATAGCTGGGCCTCAAGAAATGTCAAATGAAAGATTTTGTAAAGGAAATATTTTTCTTTTCATATTTTCATAGAACAAGAATCCAGCCCATGGTATCCTGGAATTTAGAAATAAGATTTCTGTCGGAGAGTAGGATTGGCATATGGAAGAATTTTGGAAATTCGTACTTATGTGTACTAAAGGGTGCTTAATTTGGTACAATTTAAATGTTGGGAGAACCGGTAGAGTTGGAACTCTGAAATTTGGAATTTCGATTACTATTAAAGTGTAGGATTGGGGTATGTAGAAAGTTTTGGAAATTTGTACTTATGTGCACTAAATAGTACTAGCTTTGGTACAATTTTAATTTTGGAAGAGTCGAAGGAGTTCGAATCCCGAAATTTGGAATTAGGATTACTATGGGAGTATAGGATATGCGTACTAATTCTTACTAAATTTTATACAAATTGGATTTGTTTGAACCTATAGGGCTGGAGTCCTGATATTTGGAATTATTTTTGGAAATAAGAATTACAAGAGCACAAAAGGTAATAAATGGTACTAAATTTAGTGTTGATTGTACGGATAGAGTTAGATTTGTGAAGTTCAGTGTTGGGGTCAGAATTGGTGTGTAGTGTTGATATATTGAAATTGAAGTACCAAAATGAACTAAAAATTTATATTTGGAATGAGGGTCCCTGATGTAGTGCAGGATAGTTGTACCAAAGGGTTTTTTAAATTCGAACTTTAAGGCTACGAAAAGTTCTTAAATGATACCTAACTTCTAAAATGGTACCGTTTGGTATTATGTGAACGGATAAAGCTAAACAATTGCAATTTGGTATGAGAATCAAGATGTGTATTAAGTGTGCGAACTGTACTAAATGGTTCAAAATTTGGAATGTTTAGAATGAAGCTGAAATAAGGGTACTAGGGTTTAGAATTGCGTCCTACATTGTACGAAAATCACTAATTTGTACTAAATAAATTGGTAAAGACATAGGGTTTGAATCCTCAAATTTGGTATTGAGATATCTGCTAGTATCTGGAATTGAGATATGGAGGTGACTTTAAAATTGTGTACTTTAATTGTTCGAAAAGTACGAAGTGGTACTAAATTGGGTATTGGATGAAAACATAGAGCTGGAATACCGAAATTAGATATTGAGGTATCTGTTGGTATCTGGGATTAAGCTGTTGGGGTGGTTTCGGAAATGTGTATTATAATTATACGAAAAGTACTAAATAGAAGTAAATTTGGTACAATTTGGTATTGGGTAACAGATAGTGCTTTAAATCTGAAATTCGGTATTAGGGTCGATGTTCATGTGCGAGCCCGGACGTATGGAGGTCGATTAGGAAATGTGCACTATAATTGTACAAAAAGTACTAAAATGTAATATTTTTGGTATCTGGATTGCTGATGGTACATGTATTTGAAATTCTATGGTGGGTTTAGAATTGCGTCCTGCGAAAAGTACTAAATAGTACTAAATTGGGTGTTGGTAAAGCATAGGACTCGAATCACAAATTTAGTATTGAGATATTTGCTAGTATCTGGATTGAGATATGGAGGTGACTTTAAAATTGTGTACTATCATTGTTCGAAAAGTACGAAGTGGTACAAAATTGGATATTGGATGAAAACATAGAGCTGGAATCCCGAAATTTGATATTGAGGTCTATGTTGGTGTCTGTGATTTATCTGCGAAAAGTACTAAATATAAGTAAATTTGGTATAATTTAGTATTGGGTGACAGATAGTGCTTTAGATCTGAAATCTGTTCATATGTGACCTGGACGTATGGAGGTGACTTCGGAAATGTGTACTATAATTGTAAAAAAGTACTGAATGGTACTATATTTGCTATTGAGTGAAGGGATAGCAAGAAATTCGGATGATTGATATTTAGATTAGTGATAGTATCTTTGTTTGAGATGGGGATGGTTTCGGAAATGTGTACTACAATTGTACAAAAAGTACTGAATGGTACTATATTTGATACTGTCTGAAGGAATGGATATAAAATTGTGAAATTTGATATTTTGATTAAAGATTTGGCGGTGGTTTGAAATTGGTACTTTTGACTGCATCATCATTGAATACGTTCTACAAAAGATTCAAACTCACATTTTATCAAAATCAAATGACAAACTTTACTATATTTTTCAATTTGATTACAATCGAGTCCCAATGTAAATGCATACGCCATTCCTTCCTCTCACTGCGAATCTAACATATGTATAACTTTTTCCACCATAACAACAATTTTCCTGCTATGGGGATTATCTGTGCAACAAATCCGTACCTCAATGTTTGCTCTTCGTTTTTCTCAAAAAAAAAAACGAGCATCAATCCAAAAAAGTATGACGCTGACGACTGCACTCCAAACACATTCCTTACATACAGAAAAAAAAACTTAATATGTAGCCGCCCGCAGGAGATGTAACGCAAGCAAAAAATCTCTTGAATACATCTTCGGAAATGTGAAATATGAACTTTGACAAATTTTTATTAAAATATCCCAAAATCCGGGAAAAAAACCTGATGCGTGTGTGGAACGTTGATTTTGCCGTTGTTACGGAATGATTTTTACATTGTGTGTGTGTGTGGGGGGGGGTTGCATTTGTATTGTTGAAAAATCCAACAACACGTTTTGTAACACCGTCGGATGTGTTGTAAGTAAAGCATATCCGTTTCCGTATAATAAAAACTCACAACAACAACATCAGGACAAGATGCGAGCGTGCAAAGTTACAAAAGACAGAGAACATTAACATGCAATCCAAGCAAACAAAAAAAAATAATAACTTCGAAAAAATGGCACACAACGGTGTGTGGGTCGAAGTAATAGAAGGAAGGACGGATAAGATCAGGGAGAGCGAAGGAGGATTAGAAGCAAAACGGATTGCAACGGAAAATTGTCATTAGTTTTAATGGGCCTTTAATAGGCTGCTACGTGAAATGGTGGGACCAAGGGTTAATAGCTAAATTAAAATTTTGCAATAAATTTGTTGTATCCTCTCCAAGATTTTAAATTATTAGGATTTTCCATGTCCCCCACTATAGTATCGCAGGTACTTTAAGTTAGTCAATCTGCTTGTAACTCCTCGAAATAAACATTGTCGATTTAGCCATGTCCGGCTGTCTGTCTGTGGATTTTACTTAAAAATATTTTAGGATCATAGAGTTTTTGGTATAGTAAATAGGTCCACGATTTGTTACAGACCCCAGATAAAGCTACAACCCAAACAAGAGTTGGTAGTTGGGGTTTAAGTCACATAGTTGGCATTTGTTGTTTGTAAAAGTTACTATATTCTTTGGCAGGTAATTGTCTATGCAAGTCTAGGTTTTCGTATAGTCCGCCCAATATTCGGATAATTTATTTGGACACGTTATTTAACGGAATTTTTTAAAAGTGGGGTTTTGGAGTTCCTTATAGGTCCCACCTTCTGTGTCTCTCCAAGTCCACGATTTCGTATAAAACATAACCCTATCTCTCCCCAATATTCGGTATTTGGATGACTTTGTACACATGGTTGGTATTTGGAACCCCCTTCCGGATGGCATACTCGCTAGGTTTCCATTGTTCCACTAGTCTCTGTGTAGGACAAGTATTTCGCTCAGCGCAACTAATTTATTTTCTGGTTCTCTGTTTGAATTGTTCTCCCATAGTGACCTGTATAACTGTTTCGTGGGATGATGTGTTTATTAATCCACTCCTCCATCGCTTTCAACCGTTGGCGTAGTCCTATTGCCCCGCAGATGCCTTGGCTCTAGACTTTCTATAAGATTTTGATATTGCACTTTTTATTAATTGCTGTCCACAAGACTACTGACGCGGATGATGGAATAGATCTAACTACGCTCGCAAGACAGTGAATCATTTTCGGATTTAGCCCCCCTCTTGAACCTATTGTCCTGTGTCTGTGAGCTGTATTTGCTCTTTCGTTAATGAAATGGTTTCCAGTTATTTTTCTTTTATCCAGATGTACTCCTTGATATTTGACTTTACTGAAAATACTAATTGTCTGGTGCCCGATTTAATCTCCCTGACATTGTTCAGGTTTTACATTCAGCCATCTTGGTCTGACCCAATCGTGAGCTATCTTAAGGGCCGATTCGACCTTTCTGCACAGCAAATTTGGATTCTTTCCCCTCAGAAGTATTATAACATCGTCTGCGTAACAGGCAAATTTAAATCGCTTTATAAAAGATAGGCACATAGAAGTCTGGCGTTCCCAGATATACTCAGCTCCTAATAATAACGTCGTGTAGCCCGACTCCATGGTTTTCTTTTCTTTATTTTGGGCCTCAAAAATATGAAGGCCTGTATAAAATTTCCAGCTCTGCACTAGTTCAGTTATTTCCATCATTGCTCATCGTAGGAAAATGTAACGACCAAAGTTAGGGTCTCGTTTTTATGTAGATTTCCTAAATTCAATTATTTTTTCAGCCATAGTGCGGTAAATCAGAACTTTAATTTAAATTATTTATATGCAGAACCACTAGTAGTGAATAGCAGTGCAGCACAAAATTGCATAAAATAAGGTGCATTCTACACAGTCGGAGCCTGATCCGAGTTATCGCCGAGCGGAAAAGACTACGGGGAATCCTAAGACGCACAGCAAATGCTGATCGCCATCCAATCCTCAAGGTCGACATAAGAGAACTATGCACAATAATCAATCAATTGGTTAGTATTCATGAAAATGATAGTTTCAGGGACTACTTGGAAAACATTGAGGTTAACTCGAAAACATATGGGAACGTCAAGACAGCCGCTGACCTATCATTACGGCAGCCTATAAAAGGAATCATAAACAGTGATGGAGTGGTTACCTTGGATAACACATAAAAAGCTAAGAATTTCGCACGCCATGTGCCCTTCGTAACGTGTTCAACACAGCAGTGGAAGGTATCGAAAGTCACGTGCCCTCTGTTGAATTCGACTATAGAAACTATAGCAAGAAAGACACCGAAGATGTCTTATAGTATCGATAAGGACATTGCTGCAAAGAAGGCTTGTGAATCCATCATACTTTTCCTCACCACTGCCTAAACATCGGATATTTTCCAATAGCCTGGAAGGAAGCACTAGTGTTACCAATTCCATGCTCAGGGCAGATGCAACGCTGAGGGGGAGCTATAGACCCATATTTCTGAATTGCCTATTGGGAAGCAGTTTGAACACTTCAAATTGCGAATCAAACGAATCTTCGGAGAGAGGAGGATACTAAAGGACACCTATTCTGATATAGATAAAAACTCTACAACCTATGTTCTAGCAGCCTTTACAACGTACGTTACGGGTTCTTTTGAATTCCAAAATGGAAACAATAGCAATTGGTGTGGACTTTGATACTGTATGGCATTTTTCACAAAATGCAATAGTTCGGATTCAATGGGCAAACCCGTCGCATGGTAGCAAGCTTTCTCCAGGATCCAGTCTTTCAGGTTAGAGTTAATGATATACTGTCTGAAAAACGATTATCACTGCAGGGGCCGGTCTTGTTCAACTTGGAACATTTCAGCTTATGTACGTCGATGACATTAAATTGGCACTATGAGGTTGCTTCAGAAGCATGAATGCGTAAATGAATACTCTCCACAACAAATGGGGACTTAATCTCAACGTTGGAAAGTGCATATCTGTGGTTTGCCAAGGTACACCACAAGGTTGGTGACCAACTGATTCGAACTTCCGATTGGATGAAATGCCTAGAAAGCAACGAAAAACTCGACCGCCACATGGTCTATTTGCTGTAAAAAATAAAAAAAATAATTACGCCGATTATCTACAAACAAGTTATCTGACCCATTTGCCGCTTCGGTTGACATATCTTCTAATCGAATGGAGTGATTAAGAATATGGAAAAGAAGGAACTTCGAATCGTGTTTAGGAATAAACTGCCCAACTGGAAAATCTATAACTCAATTGAATTCAGCCAGATAGACGTCTTTATAATGAGAAATGCGATTAACTTTCTCGAAAGAAACCAAAGCATGGAAAATAGGATAGTGGAACAATTCCAGGACTACAAATAGGAAAACGCCAATATGCAAAGAAGACGAGACGTGATCTACGATGATGATCGGTTAATGTACTACCATCGTACTTCTATTACAGATTTGACGCCGATTTTGAACCTATCTACGCTACAGGATGAGATGAAAAAACTGCAACCAATTTCAAACTACTGCCATTTCTAAGCCACTCGTCCGACAGCTGTTAAAATTATTTCAGTGACAGCTTATTATATTGTTTACAAGCGTACAAAAGCATTTTGGTGAGAATTTTCCAGAAAAAAAGTTATTCGTGATGTAATTCAAGCGTAATAGCGTGATTTCTTTTTATTTGGCTGGAAAACCACAAGTGACTATCGTTAGAGTACTCCAGCATTTAAATGTAAATAAATCATTTGTGTCTCTTACCATCGCTCGTTACCATGATACTGGTAGCGTAGCTCGACGTCAAAGAAGTGGACGGAAGAAAACAGCAGCATCGCTGATCGAATCCCGCGTCGCAGTGCCCGAAAAATGGCTCGTGAGCTGAACATATCGCAATATTCCATTCGGCAAATATTGAAAAATTAGCTTGGGGTAAAGCCATTGAAATTCCAAAAAGTGCAAGAACTTACACCGCAACAGAAAGAAAATAGACCCAAAAGAGCAAAAGAGTTGCTTCGCTTGGCCGAAAGTGGAGAACTGCCGAGTTTGGTTTTCTCAGATGAGAAAACATTCGTTGTCCAGCAGTTTATAAACAAAGTGATCGTGTTTACTAGCCAAAGGGGTCAGCTGAAAATGTGAACCTTCGGTGGGCCACCAGAACTCAAGCGCCGCCTCCATGGTGATGATGTGGGCCACCATAACAGTCGACGGTCGCTCTTCGCTCGTATTAATCGACCGTGGCATCAGAATAAATACCGAATATTATCGCGAAAATATTCTGGAGGTTGTATTAAAGCCTTGGGCACGCAAACATTTTGGCCGCAGACCTTGGACATTCCAACAGGACTTAGCACCATCGCATTCAGTACGCGCCACCCAAGAATGGTTACCAAATGTGGCTCCTCGCTTCATTTCCAGCGCACAAGGGCCACCAAAATCTCCGGATACCAATTCGTTGGACTATTGTGTCTGGAGTATTTTGGAAAGCAAGCAAAGCAAACACTTCGCCGGGAATGGGCCAAAATACCGCAGAGCAACATTCGGGCAGCGTGTGACGGTTTCATTCGCCGTTTAAAGACCATAATTCGTGCCAAAGGTGATCAATTCGATCAAATGTAAACTTATTCTAAAATTTTATCTCATTTCCGACATTTTTGCTTTCGTTCTGTAAAATTTAAAAAAAGTATTTAAAAATTATGGCGTTTGACTTTGCTGCAGTTGTTTTTATCACACCCTGTATATACCTTATGCAGTCTCCGACGAATATTTAGGGATGTTACAAACGGAATGACAAAGTTAATATACCCTCCTTTAATTTGTGCTCTTCGCTTCTTTTGTCCACGAACAAATATGAATTATTGTGACGACCCTGGCCCCCGCTGAGCATACCCCAGTTTCAAAGTGAAAACATGTCACGATATGAATATGAGTTACTATGATCGTAAGAGCTACCATATGTATTTTTTCTAGGCCCCTTATATATAAAACATTTCCTATGGATCTAAATCAAGTCGAATAATTATAGACTTTCTTTGCATAGAAGACCTCGAGTAAAGCTTCACGTTCATGTGTCTTCAATAGCTAAAAGCCTCTCCTTGCCTCCTACACAGATGTAAGGCCTTCTACACTATAAAAAAATGCCCCTTAAAACCATCTATGAGACTTTTCGTTAAATTTGCCAGTCTTTTTATTGCATTTTTCCTTGTGTTCTTATTACTTCTGATGCTGCAAAAAGGCATCTTAAATATTGGCCTGATATCATATGTCAAACTCTAGAGTTTTTTTTTTTTTCTTAGCTCAACACAACCTTTTGGTCTCGAATTGGGGGAAATATAACTGTGATTATTTTACAAAAGGAAGAGAAGTAACGAAATCTAGGATATTCCCATTGTAACATTTTCTCAAGAAAAAAGTTATTCTTCCTTTTTTTTCCTCAAAATGGACGATATTAAGACATTCGTGCTTTGCAAAAATACTTTTTCCTAGTTTTATTAACAAAAAATAAATGAAAAAGAGATAGAGAGAGTCATATCAACTTACCTCATGTCCTTTTTGCTGTGCACTGCAATTACTTATATCCAAGGAACCACTTATAAAGTCATTTTGTACATCAACAATCAAAAATGCGTTAACAGGACGAACGATCTGCAAAATAAAGAAAAATAAAATAAAATAACCAAAACGGAACAAAATTACTTCACATTGTTGTATTCGAGAGTTGGATTACTACACTTCCATAACTGACTGACTGACTGACAGACAGCCAGCCAGCCGTGGCATGGCTTGGGTTCACTTGACTATACCCACATAAACTTTCTTATATCGCAGTCTTCCATCATCAGCGTTTAAATTCTTCTTCTACTTCAAGAAAACTTGGCAAACAGGCAAAAGGAAATAACTTATAACGGCCATAACAATGACTGAAGTCAGGTTGGAGATGTAACCTGGAATGTGGAGGTGGCCACCAAGCATCATGCAGTGGGTGTCACACATATCCAAATGGGTATCGGTGTGACAACAACGATAGCATGGCATGGCATGGCATTCATTCAAAAACTTCAACTTGGCATCAGCATCAATCTCATCACAATCATCATCGTTATTGTCTGTCATCCATCTGTTATGTTCTGTTCATCAGGATTCGGGGGACGTAGTCTATATTCACACACACACAAGTCGCTGGCGCAGGGTTCCATTCAATTTGCTCCAGAAGATGACTTTATATTCGGGCCAACAGCGACAGCCAGAGCAACAACGCAAAACGAAAACCCATAAGAAAAGTTGTCACGTCGTAAAGTAAGTCTGAAGAAGAACGCTATATAAGTTTAACAGAAGCCGGATATAAAGCCATTGTTGCTGTCGTTGTTGTTGTCATTTGGCCTTATGTTCTTGGTGGATATATTGTCTCTTCCGCTGGATGTAAACTGTTATGTCTGCTTGTCACATACCGGATATGAGCTTTAAGTACTTGAAACAACAAAAAGCTCAGTTACTGAACTGAATGCCGGGATTACTAGCATCGTTTGCAATAATACAACATTAATGAATGGTGAATTACAAAGCATAATTAAGAGAAATATTATAATATTTTAACTATTCTGGGGAAAAATGTTAGCGAATTCGTGAAATGTGGAGGGTAAAGATTTAAGAAGGATGAAAATATTAACAAAAAATTATCCTGATCTATGTTTTCTAAGATTGTAATATACAAAAGTCATATACGAATACTAGACAGATTCGAACAATCGTTCGGAATTGTTGCGAAACTTCAACGCAAGAGATTTCACGATAACAGAAATACAGAAATACAAACAATCCTGATTTGTCTAGCTGCAATTGATGGGTGGACTCCCAGGACGGCATTCATCCTGTAATTGCTGATGGCATCTGCGACTACATCAGTATGAATGTCACTCAGACCTGCTTGATAGGCTTCTTGATCCTATCTCTCTAGATGTCCTTCCTGACACCCTTGGGTGGGGAAGTTTTATCCACCATATGATGGTTGGGATGACTCCCACGATAACACCGAAGCAGGTACTACAACGAAAGTGCTGCCGGTTAGCGCCTTGAGGACCTTGTTCCTACTTTTCATCTTGTCGCAGATAGATTTGGCTTGAGCGGGCGATTTTAACATGCTGTCGAATGTGACCCCTTGAATCTTGGAGTAGTTCGTGGTCGGTATTAAATGTCCCTCGACCTGCACATTCAGTTGTGTTCTCATCTCCGCAGACCAGTGTGACTGTTGATTTTGGGTCGAATATTGTCATATTCCTGACGTGGAAATATGAGGGAAACTCCATTGGGCCCGACGCCATGATCGTACAATCATCCACATACATTACGATCGCTACGCCGTCTGGAGGGCGAAGAATTCCGGAAAGGTAGATGTTAAACTGTTCCGGAAATATCACCGCCACCTAGGGGAAATCCCTGTTTCACTCTACGGGCTTTGGACTTCTTGTTCCGGCATTCCACGTACGACTGGCGTCCACACATATAGTTGATTATTCAACAATTCAAACTTGTCCAGAGGGTAGTCCTCTACACATCCTCAAACATTGTGGCATTATTGACCGTATCGAACTACCACCACTGTTCTATGACACGGCTTGTTCTGGTTTAATCATCTACAAATATGTGTGGAAATGGTGTGTAATGCTGTTGTGGACGGAATCCGTGCTGATGGTTTGCAACTGGATAGCTTCCTTTAAACTGGGAAGGAGTAAAGACTCGAGAGTCTTAGCTGGCGACAAAAGCGAAATTGACCAATAAAACTACGATTCACATTTGCTGGCATCCTTGCCTGGCTTTACTCCCGGCGTAATGCTATTTCAGCATTACCATTGAGATTCCGCCTGGGCTAACGCTTTGGATGACATTAGTAACACCAGCCGTCGAAAACTGTGATGGTTCCTCCTCAGCGGGAACAGATCTTATTCCCAGCGGGAACATATCTGAGATCAGAAATGGTGGTTGGGATAAACGTTCCTACAACATCATTCTATTGAATCTATATTGAACGAGTCTCTATTGATCCGCACAAGAAATGTATTGGGGTGGAAATGTCAAGGTAGAGCTGCTTAATGTGTATGTCCCGCCGCTTAAAGCTGTGCTTTTGGAAGGCAATAACCACCTCGAACTAGTATTTTAATGCTCACCATAAGTTGTGGCATTCCCCCGTGGGTATTGATTAGAGGGGTTGAGTTTTGGAAGAGCAGCTGATTACTTCACATTGTTTACGGCTAAAGCGGATGCACCCTCCCAAATAAGAGGAGAGTATATTTCCATCCAAGGAGTCTCAGTTCGTCCGCCAAATTACGTTACTTGGAAACCCAATATATCTCTTGGGTCAGATCATTTTAATCGCCGATCATCCGATTTCATAACGTCTAAACGTCTAAACTTTAACCATGGCTAAGCTCTCCGACAAGAATTTAGAGAGTCCACCAATCTACGCTTCAACAATAGTATAAACAGAACATTTTTCCAATCATTTCTAGCTTTAATAACACTGGTCGACAAAATTCTATTTGTTCAATAATCACGGAAAAAATCTAGCAGATTACGAAAGTAGAGCTAAAAAAAGAAGACGAACCTGCGTTTTGAAAGTTTACATGGAAAAATAACCAAAATAGAGGAAAGAAGCTCCCCCTCCTCCACACTTTTGGAAATTTTTGGATTTTAGGTATATAGTGTCTCCGGCAATAATGCAGATAAAAATATGAGGTATATTTTGGTTAAAAATTCGAACCTTTAAGCGAGTCAAGAAAGGGGCCTTCTTTAGCTTTTGCTCCAAAAAGTCTTCAAAATCGGTTATTTTGAAGCTACCGAGGAAGAAATTAGTACCATCATTGCACAATGGACCCACTTCAAATTTACCTGTCTTAAACCTTTTTCAACGTTTCCATACATAAGCTCTCAGTGATCTCAATATCAAATTTCAGCTCTATTCCATCACCCATTGCTAAATTTAGTAACTTTTTGTACGCATATCCAAAGCAATTAATACCATTTAGTACTTTTCGTACATATTATAGTACACATTTTCAAAATATCCTCCATATATCAATCCCGGATACCAACAGACACCTCATTATCAAATTTCGGGATTCAAGATCTATGCCTTCACCCAATACTTTATTTAGTACCAACAATTATTGCACATATTATCAACACCTCCTCCTCCTCCATAACAGACATCAACAGTAAAATCTACATCAAATTTCAGGATTTCAGCTTTATTCCTTTTCACAATACCAAATTTAGTACCATTTAGTACTTTTTCGCACAAATATATGACGCATTTTAAAATATAAAATATATCAAAATATCAGATTTCAGAATTGTATCTCTATCCTCTCGCCCAATACCATATATTGTACTATTCAGTACTTTTTATACAATTATAGTACACATTTCCGAAATCACCTCCATATGTTCAGGCTACACATGAAAAGCAACCCTAATACCAGATTTCAGATTTCAAGCACTATCTGTTCACCCAAAACTAAATAGACCTCCTAAACAATTCCTTACCCAAATACCAAATTTAATACCATTTAGTACTTTTTAGTACGTATTTCCAGAACCACTTTCAAATCTTAGCTCTCCACACTAAATATGATCCTAAGGCCAAATTTCAGATATCAAGCACCATTTGTCCACCTAATACCAAATTTAGTACCATTTAGTACTTTTCGTACAAATCTAGGACGCATTTATATTGCCAAATCTCAAACACAGATACTGTCAGTAATCGAAACATAAAATTTGAGAATCTATAATGGTATCATTATAGAAGTTTAGTACCATTTTAGAACTTTAATAACCTTAAAGTACTTATTTTTCCAAAACTCTTTGGTACATCCATCCTGAAATTTGGAATGAGAGCCACTTATATAGTCGGCTCTCAATCCAAATTCTAGTTCATTCTGTTGTCGAATACAACATATTCAAGTTTTAGTACATTTTCGTACCTTTTTTATATTTTTAAAAAACTAGCCTTACCACATGTCTACGCATTAAGACTGTCCATTGTGTAAAATTTTAAGATTCTATCTTCAGCCGTTTTGTCTGGGCGTTGATTCTCAGTGAGATGTTTCACTACTAGTTTATATATAGAAAGCTTTGATTGGTAGCTATGGCTTACCTTGTATTTATTGTACGATGCCTATAATCATTTAATACGAAACAAGTAAAAAAGCTGTAAGTTCGGTCGGGTCGAACCGAATACCCTCCACCATTTGGTATAAATTTGGCAATTTTCAAAAAAACAAAATCCGTTAAAGATTATGTTAAAATCTTAAATATACCGAATGTAGCGGTATATTTGGGTCTATACGACGACGTGGACCTGCATAGGCAACTTTTGTCATCTATTACAAGGTTTAAATAATGTAGCTAAAATCATCAAAGTACCGAATATAGGGGGGACCATGGGTTTTATAAAACGTGGACCTGCACAGACAATTTTTTGCCATAGACTGTAGTATCCATTACGAACTTTAAATACAAAATACAACAAAATAATTCCGGTAAATAATGTCGCTAAAATCATCAAAATACCGGATATAGGGGGGTACCGTTATATGGGGGCCATAACAAAACGTGGACCATCTGGGCCCATTTTCGATACCAAAAGT